AAACTTTGACTCAAAAGGTCAAAACAAAAACAGGGTAATTTTGGTAGTTTAAAAATATATACGGGTGATTATATTGGTGAAGGTAGTGGCCTGGGGATTATATGTGTGACACATAAAAATGTGCAAAAACAGGAGCGATCTGTGACGCCAAAAAGTATAGAATAGATGGCGGCTAGAGTTGGCCGGAGTTGGAACCGGTCAGATGGCCCGGAAACCGACGTGGCGACCAGACAGGGGGATCCGGCATGCGCCGCCCCTTGCTGTCATAGTAAATCACGCCGGAAAAATCCAACGGCTTGCATTTGCCTCCCATCAGAATTGCCCGCTGCCACAGCCCGCCGTTGCCGAAACCCTCATCGTCATCATCATCATCACACTCATCCTTGCTTTCCATCTCTTTCTTCTTCTTCTTCTGCCTGAGTTTAATAGCATTGTTTCCGATCGTCATCAACAGGTCCTTCGCCTGCGGGATAGGCGGCAAACTTTTGCTCTTCCTGCACTAAGATAGATATAATTAAAGAGAATTTCACTTACTTATACTGTGTAGATACTATCCTCCCTTTTTTAATCCCAACATGTTGAATTTTACACTATTCACATATTCTACTTTGACTACATTTTACGCTATTATTTTATGAAAATTATTTTTTTAAAAAAATAGTGTTCAATTCATTTCATTGCAAATTTTCAAAATCTGGTTTTTACATTTTTTTACTAATAGAGATTAAGATATAATTACGGTCAAAGACATGCGTTGACAAGTGTGAAATGTTGACCGTTGCAACTAAAAAAGAACGGAGGAAGTAGTAATAAAACCCTATGAAATAAATAAATAAATAAATAAATAAATAAATAAATAAATAAATAAATAAATAAATAAATAAATAAATAAATAAATAAATAAATAAATAAATAAATAAATAAATAAATAAATAAATAAATAAATAAATAAATAAATAAATAAATAAATAAATAAATAAATAAATAAATAAATAAATAAATAAATAAATAAATAAATAAATAAATAAATAAATAAATAAATAAATAAATAAATAAATAAATAAATAAATAAATAAATAAATAAATAAATAAATAAATAAATAAATAAATAAATAAATAAATAAAAATATAAATAAATAAATAAATAAATAAATAAATAAATAAATAAATAAATAAATAAATAAATAAATAAATAAATAAATAAATAAATAAATAAATAAATAAATAAATAAATAAATAAATAAATAAATAAATAAATAAATAAATAAATAAATTTTATATGGTTATTTTCTTGCAAGAAATTTGTAAATTTAATCATGTCACTTTCCACTGTTTTTATTCTTGGTCATGTAATTTACTCGCATTCAAATTTGGTTGTATAATTAGTACTACCTCCGTCCCAATAAGATTGGGACATGAGAAGGTGGCACGATTATTAAGAAAAGTGAGTTTGTGTGGTTGATATTAAATTGGTAAAGTAAGAATAAAGTAGGAATGATTTAGAGCCACACAAACTTTACCAAATTTGGTATGGGACAATCTTAGTGGGACTTCCCGAAAAGGTAAAATGGAACAATCCTAGCGGGACGGAGGGAGTACGTAGTAAACCTTTGCAATTTAAGGATTTTCCACCATAAAGTACACTTTCTGGCTGCAAAATCCGACCTCTTCAACATCTTTTATGTTATACTTTTGTCGAAACGTGTACTTTTTAGGAAGAATATCTTAAATGGCAAAGATTTATGAGTTACACAATCAAAACAATTAAAATTACTGGTAATGAAAACGGTCGAAAATTAAGAAATAACAAATGTTTCTTTTTTTTTAGAATAACAAATACGTAGTATTTCTTTTCTTGTTGGAACTTTATACGAGGTACTGTGTACATTGCATGATGGACAAAGTCACTTGTGGGCCAGATTAATTTCCACAAGTATGTATCTCTTTCAAAATTAAGGGAAAAATATTATGTCATGCCAATTTAAAACTATATACTCCCTCCCTCCTTAAATGTTGTTCCAATTGCGGATTACGAAGGTTGACCGACGATAAAGTTAAATGATTATGTGAAAACTCGGATTATTTTTAGTAAATAAAATTTACATATTCAGAAACTACATTAAACTCGCTACAAAGCCTGCAAAAAATAATTCAATTTTTATAAAATTTTGATATAAAAAGTAAGAGTTTAAGAGTGATTTAAGTTGACCCTCAATAAGCGAAATGGAACTTCTTTTAGGGACAGAGGGAGTAACAATATAATCAAGCACAAGCATAAATTTGATTTATTTTTCAGAGGGAGTATAACATATACTGAGTAATATACTACTAGTACGTAGTAGGTAGTATCTCCGTTTTTAAATATATTCGCATGCTATGTTTTGACTATATTTTATTTATTACTATATTTGTTCTTAAACAAATGGAACATGTTGAATTTTACACTATTCATATGTTCTACTTTGACCATGTTTTATTTATTAATGTATTAAAATATTTTTTTGAAAAAAATATTATTACATTGTCTATTGTAAATTTTCAATATCTAATTTTTTTAATTTTTTTACTAATAGGAAATATATATATATATATATATATATATATATATATATATATATATATATATATATATATATATATATATTAATGGTAAAAGATGTGTTTCGACAAATGTGAAATATTGATTGTTGCCTTTATTTAAGAACGAAGAAAGTATTATATTAGAAATTTATTTTAAAAAACTATAGTACGTACTAATGTAGTTTATCTCATTTATAATATTCAAAACTCAAATATTATGTTTTACTAATAGAGAATAAAATATATCTGCAATGACAAACGTGAAAAACAAAATATAACAATTGAAAAAGATGTAAGTATGACGGTATGGGGTATCATATACAGTATCATGTCATACCTGACCAGTTTTTTTGCGACACGCCTCCATGTATCAACGACCCGCCGCTTCGACCACCCGCTGGCGCTGTTGATGGCATGGTTGGCAGCAGAGGTGATAGCGCGGCCGGTTCTCGTCATGAGTTCTCCGCCGCGGACGGTGCTGATCGTGCAGCCGGTGGTTGTTTTGAAAGCTACCCCATTGCGGGTGTTGATGGCGGTGGTGGTGCGGCCGATTATGCATGTGGTGCCACTGACCACATAGCTGGCGCTTCCGTCGGTTGCCTGTGACGGTGTTTGGAAGATCATTTTGTTTCGCACCGCCATTTTTTGTTCGCCCAAGTGCTGCTATTTATGGGTACGTACGAGAGCCAACGAGCTGAGGCTTGTTTTTAGTTCATTATTACTCCACAAAATTAGATATGATACTACTTTGGACAATTTTTCAAATCCATCCATAAAGATGAATGAATCACTTTATGTACTTACCGAAATTAAAATTAAACGCCCACCATCAATCAGGACGAGTAAATATTAAATAGTTGCACGGAATATTTTCTACTTAATTTAGACTATATGATACTCTACCTATTTTGCATAATTCAAAAATAAATGCATATGAATCCATTCATTTCATAATGAGATTAGCAAGTCTACTTTTTCGAATGCCTAAATAAACCGATTATTAACCATTCACAATATTAATAAACAAAAGATAATTTATCATTATGTGGGGACCATGGTGTGCAGAAAACTCATTGGTTATGCACATTTTTTCATGATGAACGACGTATATTAAGATAGAGTAAACAATCAAGATATCCTCTAGACAACTATTACAAATCTGATAATAAAGTCTAAAAATAGACATAGATTCAGCTCATACAAAGCAATCTGACTCGTTACATACAAAACAGACAAATCTAAAATCCGAAAAAGAAACATTGTCTATCAAAAGTTCTCTAAAATCCAATAATACAAACCATGTCTGCTTGAACTACAATAAAAATAAGTACCACTGAATAAGAGATAATACTGATATATATAAGGTCTTTCTACAAAATTTTTTCTAACACAGAAGTGGTTCCGGAGGAGCGTGAGTTGCTACAATATGGATGAACAATGGCTTTTTTTTCTTGCTTAGTTCTGAATAGTCATAGAGATATGTGGACTCAGAAACAACCTTGATGCTCATGTCATACGACTCATATTCCATACATCCCGTAAGAACATAGACATAATCTCCCGACCAGGAGAATCTGGCAGGGACAACAAAACCCTTCCCCAAACTGAGGGAGACAAACCACACCGAAGTATCAATGTCCAGAAAAGAGGCGCAACAGGACAACAAATACCCCACATCAAGAGAAAAATCAAATTGATTTTATTCATAACAAGAAATCAGAAAAACCTCTGACGAGGCTAAGCTAAACGGTGGGTTGCAAGTCGGGCTGCCGGTGGAACAAAGCATTATGTTGTCTAGGGATTCCACTATGGATGAAGCATTGTCATTCAAATTCCAGTCGAATCAAAGTAAACCAAACTGCAACCAAATTAAACCGAAATCGAATGTAAAAAACCGAATCAAACCATAGTTCTTTGGTTGAGCTTAAAGTTTGTGCTTTGAGTTGGATTTCTGTCGAGTAAAAAATGATTGACATACTAGTTCAGTAGTTCACTTCATACAAATGCACACAGTTGTTAGACCTTACAACTAGCATATTGAAGTATTGAATACCAAGAGGTTTTTAATCCATTTTATTCTTGGAGAAAAGCAACTATTGTATCAACCATGTACTCCGTGTATTACAAATAATTTGTCATAGTTGATTATTCAAATGGTATGACATGATTTTGAACAAATAGAAACTCAATCTAAATTAGAATTGAGAATGAATCTAATGTGTTGTGCATTATGTCATTTATGTGCAACAAAAATGCACACTACAAATTGATGAGCCAGAAAATGTGATGGATTTTTTATAAATGAAATGAACTTTCTCTTCCAATTTGATATGTACATTATCTTAAGCATAAATGAGCGCAACCATCACCCACAATACACATTGTTAATTGTTTCGGGTCGTTTCCATTTCTCACGGGAACTCACCAAACATATTTGTTGAGTTGATTGTTCACATAAAGTGTAAATCAAGCATATTTTTATTATAAATACTCTCACACGGCTGTACAATAATAAAAAAGAAGCGAGACTATGCAAGTACGAAGGTAAAGAAACATGCTCCCTAAACATTTGTAGAGGAATTCAAGACAATATCTTAACAGGGTCAAAGCTCTCTCGATACTGATGAGTTACTTAACACCTTTTCTATCATTGTCAATGTCATAGCTTTCTCAAATATTCGGAGGTATCTTGACATATTTACGTGCGCTAAGCTTCTTCTCTATCAAGTCCATTACCCAATTACCAGTCACCCATTTTGACCAAAACAAATTGCCAACGCCAAATCAAACAAATCCAAAGGGCAGCATAGCATATCATCACCCAGAGTCAGAGCGTAATAGAACCCAACCCAGTTTGGGATGCTCCTCTTGCCACCTAGTTAAGTTAGCCTTCTTCCCAATCAATGTCATCATCCTCCTCCTCATCTTCTGCAGCCTCTGCTTGAACATTCAAGTCCACTTTGAAGTTTCCATATGTATTACCTGAGCCTGGCATATTACCGAAGTGAAAAAAAGAAACATGAAACCATCTAGCATTACATCTAGCTTATGCTTAAAACAAATACAAGTAAACAGTGCATTAAAAACCAAAAATATATAATAAAATGTAAGGGAAAACTGTCAAATAGGTCCTCGAACTTTCATAAAAAAGTCAATTAAGTCCTTCTATAGGAGACTGTCCAATCATTGCGATTTGGGGCGGTTCCCGGTGGAATTTTTTGATGAAATTTTTTTAGCATCTTATTCATCAAGTCTAGTTTACTCATACCAAATTTCAGCTAAAAATTTAATCGGGAGCGCATTACAATTAATTCAAGAACGCAAAAATGCGCAGTTATCTTCAAGAATTAATTTGAATGTGTTCCCGATTGAATTTTTAGCTGAAATTTGGTATGAGTAAACTAGACTTGGTGAATAAGATGCTCAAAAAATTTCATCAAAAAATTCCACCGGGAACTGCCCCAAATCACGACGGCCGGACAAAACCTCCTATAGAAGGACTTAATTGACCTTTTTATGAAAGTTCGAGGACCTATTTGACAGTTTTCCCTAAAATGTAAAGATCCCACACCGGTCAAGTATGGGATTGGGCCGGTGGCTTATAAGCAAGTTGTTCCCTCCTCCTAATCGGAGGGTCTTTTAGGAGTGTGTTCTACACCTGGCTTATGACATTGCTATAGGCCTAGTATGGGCTGGGTCCGTAACATAAAACTACAAACTTAAATTTGTGAACTACGTACAAACTAACAGAAACAACAATAGAACACTGCATACAAACTTTGCGTACAAGTATGATTTGATATACTAAAATCATACTTCATGCTAAACTTGATGCACTAAAAAAACATTTTATGCTATTGTCAAAGCCCTTAAAAGTACAACACTTGAACATTCACACAAAAAAAGACTAAATTAATTTCACACTTCAACTGTTAATTTTATCTAATGTTTTGTGACTCTTAATTTATGACATTTCGACATATATTCAAGAGAAATATTAAAAATATTAAACATAAATAAAAACTCTATTTTCAAAAAAAATCTATTCAATATATATCATTAATAATACTCCTTCCACCCGCCCCATAATGTAAAATAAATTTGGGTTTGGCGCGGGATTTAGAAAGTAAGGGATGGAGTTTTTTTTAGATTCTAACCTCCAAAAAATAAGAAAAGATATTATGTGTCCACAAAAGTAAAAAGGTGAAACCGTGAAATGATCAGTAAAGGGATAACCTAGGAAAGTAAAAAGTTAGTGGAATTTTATTTAGGAAAGCGTTCATATTTTGAGACAACCTAAATAGAAAAGTGTATTTTACAAAATGGGATGGAGGGAACAGCTTATTTAACAATTAATTTTATGAAACATTTCATCAACTGCAGCTTATTTATTTAACAACTAATTTGATCAAACATCTTATATTTTATCAATTAGTAGCTTTACTTTAAAAATAAACTTTATCAAACATCGCATATTTTAAAATATTTTCAATTTTCAACTAGTCATCGCATATTTTTAATTATTTTCAATATTCAACTAGTTTAAACTAAAAGTTAACAGGTTATTAATTCAGTTTTCCTATGTTCTCCCTTTATATTTCACGGATGTATCACATCGCCACTTCAAAAAAATTCAAGTACTTCCGAGATCTGACGTAAGTTGATGTACTCCTTACTTTGTCGGATACAGGTTGGGATACTTTATGAGCTTCAATGCAAGTTGATGCACTCATTACTCAAACTTGAGCTCATGATAACTTATAACATGATGTGCAATTTGCTTTTACAATGTCAAATTTCAATCACATGGCAATAACTATCTCAGCAAATGAAGGCTAGATTTCAATATTCTTCTTTCGATGGTTGAGAAACAAGAAATACATCAAGGTCTAAAACACCGCCACTAAGGCTTGCAATTTGTTGTGCTAAACAACTTTAGCTATTTGAAACAAAAATTAATGCCCAACATCAGTAGTTTAGAGGTGATGATGGTTATCTTTACTATTGCTATTAGAAATAATTACATATTTATGACTAAAATAAAGATTATTTACAAAATGCGACTAGTGACTATAATAGTAACTTAATCATAGTAACTTATGTTCAATTTTTAAACTTAAGTGACCATAACACTATATTGTAGTAAATAGTAGTCATATTTGTGTGAATAAGTTTTATTTTAGTACTCCCTCTGTCCCCCTATTTTTGTCCCGTTTAATCTTTTCCGTCCGTCCCACTAAGTTTGTCCCATACCATAATAGGTAATATTTGAGTGGTTGTAATTCATTCTTACTTTATTCACACTTTACCTACTCAATATCAACCACACAATTCCACTTTCCTTAAAAACCACATTACTCCTATTTGTCCCAAACTTAGAGGGACAGAGGTAGTAATATTTTTGGAGGAAAATAATTGCAAAATTAGTTTTTATAATTTACTACCAAAAGTAGTTTAGAATAAGAACTAAGGTCTGTTAAATAGGATTTAAGATCCCTAACCATAAAAGAAATGTAAAAGCTATAGGCTAATACGAAGCTGCCTTATACTGAAAAAGGAAATAACAATAAAAATTAGTTTAGGAAACCAATAAAAATCATTTGAAATGGAACATGACTGCTTGTTGTGACAGCAAGGCAGTCAGTTGGGTTCAACCCTTATTACTATGGACTATAGTTGTTAGTTCTACCTATCTCCAAAGTATTTCACTCTTCCACTACGCATCGTAAATATTTGTGGCCATTGTACAACCCGTAGGCCATAACATATTATTAGTTTGCTAAAGGTATTATTTAATTATTAACATAGTTGGGCTTAACAAACAACACATCCCTTGCAAGGCTTAACTCCCATGCATGCGCTTAGGTGCTTTCATGTCATTTTTTGGGGGTCTGGAAGGAAGGGATGAGTTATTTGATTTTAAAAAAATAGTGTATAACTCTCCCAATTTAAAAATAAAATTAACCCTTGGCATCCTTTTTCCTACAAATAACACTTCCCTAACATGCCAAGAAACTTTAGGCACCAACACAATGCTTGCTTCTAGATTAAAACGAAATGTGAAACAGTTTCATAAAAACACTTGAAAAATAACCTGCAGGGATTGCCTCCTCCCACTCAACATCATCATCATCTTCACGTTTGGATTTCATTCCAATTTGGCGCTCGGTTGATGTGCTAGGTGTGTCATCTGTACTTGGTTCCCTTTTCACCTTTTCGGCAACTGCTATTTGTTCCTGCTGCCGTTTCAGCATTGCAGCATAATATGCCTTTACATATTCATCCTGCAAAAGAGTCGAATATAGCCAGTGTTAGAAATTGCGCAATTCAATTGTGCCTTGAGTCGCGCCTCAGGCTGATGCAATTCTGGCATGAGACGCTGCTGAAGCTTATACAATTAGGATATTTAATTATTACTCACTATTTAAACTTTATATATTTCCGGCAATAAATCAAATTTACATTATACCAATACACGACTTCTGTTGCGCAATTCTGTAACTTCACTAGATCTCTTACAGGTCTACATCTTTATGAAATCCATACAGGTTGGCTCTTTCACTTATCTCTCATCTGCATGCAGATTATGCTCTCCAAGATTTGTCTTCGAAGCGAAATAATTTTTTCACTAAGCTGCCTTTTTCAGATTAGGGAACATTTGAATTACGTTATGATTGAACTTTCTAATTTGATGGTGTTATGAACTCATTCTAGTTCTATTTGACTATGAAATATCGAGGTTGCTTCTTTCTCTTATCTCTTCTTTCTTTGCTTTCATTTTCTCTTTTCCCATGAATATGTTTGTCCAAGCATTCCAGGTTTGTCTTCTTAGAAACAAATAACTTTTCCATTAAGCTGCTTTTTTTCAGATTAAGGAACATTTGACATTACGTGATGTGGTGATGCTTAAACTGCCTATTTTGATGGTGTTTCATTCTAGTTCTATTTGACTATGAAATATCAAGAGTACTAATGAATACTAACTCCGTCCCTCAAAGAATTTCATGTATTCCTTTTTTAGATTCCCCTAAAATGGCTAAATAGAACCCTTTTCCTTATTTGGAAAAGAAAATCTTTTAAATTTACTCTCCTACTCTCAAGTAATAATGAAGGTACAATATCAAAATGTGATCAACTGCGTCAAAACAGTACTTTGCGGTAATATTTCTCTCTGTAAAGAGGCGTTTAAAGAAGTCAAAGCAAAAAAAAATGATATTCCCTTAAGGGTGTGCTGTTCAAATTAGGAAGTTCTTTAAGTGTCGGATGTAGTATTTTTATACTATCGTACTAATTTAAGTGAATTTTAATACTATTTGAAACTATCAAATGATTTTATATAGATAAAATTACCTCATGTATGACAAAATCTTTGTGTGTTTTCCAAAATATGACTTATTTCTTTTTTCCTAATATGAAGCCACATAATTTCCAAAATATGTACTCAAACCATCTAGAGTTCTCTTTTTCTTATTTCATGCCATAGTTTCCTAGTCATATATTAGGAAAGAATCATGCAGTCATACACTGGGAATTTTCATGCATTTTAGTCCTAAATAGGCTTTTTTACCTTTTATATACATGTGTACTATCATGAAGAAGTTTCTCATGTGACATATTACGCTTAATTACACACGCCAGCTTATGCAATACGCAATACAGCAAAAATGCCTCAGCTTAGCGCTATTTTGGACACATGATATAATGACGCATAAATAAAAAGCTTAGATAATACTTTTTCAGCAAATTCAAGTATTCAACCCATTCAGCCACTTCCTACTTTCAACTATTTCAGCCAAAAGTAGCCTTACCAAATATGCTGACAGAGGGAGTTCATGAAAATAAGTGCAGACAAATTTAGCAAACTTGAAATAACCTGAATATTCTTCACATCATCTTTACCAGTCTCGGGCTTTCTGTCATTGGAGAATCCAAGGGCCGCTGGAGTACCATTCATCTTCACTTCATGCTTGGCAGCCTCTCCACGCTGCTCCTTTGTGAGATTCATTCCTTCCTTTATCATCCATGGAGGCAACACTTTCTTTGGTGATGATGAACCCTCGGATTTTGTAGCGTCACCTTTTTCGTCAAGACCCAGGAAAGCAACTTCGACCTGTTAGTAAGCAACAGATACCATATTAAATACGAAATAGGAACCATTTTAGTGCCCAAAAACTTTACAAATTCAAAATCCACACCAAAGTTTTTAATTTGGGGTGAGTGCAGAAACAAAACTCATTCATAGCTTTTGTAGTAAATGCTTTACAACCAAACTTGAGGAGGGCTAGGGCCCAGGCCCCCCAAAAAAACTATGCCCATGACCCCATGACACACTTATCATGCATTTTTTCAAAGCAATCTGTTAGCTCAAAGAAGGGAAAAGATTGAATGCATCAATCATGATGACAATAACTAATTATTCATGATACTAGGAAATACATTATTACATGCAGTAACTATAATTTATCCATCTAGAAAAGAAAGATAAAATTGATAAGCTACAGTCAAGTCAAACAAACACTGTGAATACAAGAACATTCGTAGATCAGATTCACCACTGTGAAATTGCAAGGGTAAGAGTTGTTAAAGGGAAAGTATTGCATGGAAGAAAACCTTTGTCTGTCCAACAAAAGGCATAGGTGTGCCACCCTGTGAAAATTTTGAGGGATCGTTGCCATTAAGATCACCATTCGCCCCACGAGCCTCCGCACTTGCACGGGCCTCCCAGTCTTGAAGGCTTCCAAGTTCAGGAACAGCTAAATCTTTTATGCTGCCAAGTAGCTCCATCAGTGGTTTTAGCTGTTCCTGCACGCATCAAAGTCCTTTATCGATAAATGAATATACAATTAATGGAATTCAGAAAGTCAATTCGCCTAAAAAGGTCATTGCATTTTTGGTCCCTCAGACTATAATTCCACACTATTTTTAAAAGAATATTCTACTGTAAAATTACAAATTATACTAAAATACTACCTCCGTCCCGTTGGAATGTTCCCATTCGGTTTACGATGCTTGACTGACGATAAAGCAACTTGATCCCTGTTCACACTCCGCTTAATTTTAGTAAATAAAATTTACATATTCAGAAACTACATTAAAACCGCTACAAAGCCTGATCAAGAAAAGTTCAATTTGATAAAAATTTGATATATAAAGTAAAAGATTAGGAGTGACCTAAGTTGACCAATGAATAGTGAACGGGAACATTCCAACGGGACGGAGGGAGTATAAAATAGTATAACCTCATCACTGCATAGAATAGTTTCTATGAATTCTTGTACTCACTCCATCCATGGTGCTGGGCATTTTGTTCAGATTTAGCTAACAGCGCAAGGTGCTTGGGCAGAGGCTATTGTCCTTGTAAGTAACATGTTACTATTAAGTGGAAGCTTGACTCAGACCATAGATTTTTATTGTGATGGAAAAAAATCTCTCGTCATATTGTGAGCTAGCATAGGTTTTGAGTCCAACTTTAGTTCACCTCTCTTGACTGAGAAAGTATTTAAACATGTCTTACCTATAAAAAAATGTTGACGGCTTCCACCATAGATTTAAATCATGACTTAAAATTTTTATTTTGCTAATAATAGCAAGAGCAAGCACATGTTTTTGGTCAGACAAAACTAATTCACTAGTCACTACTCATCACACATACAAAAACATGTTTGACCAATTAACCCGTAAAGAGATTGGCCGACCATGAAGGCTTTCACTCCATACTATCCAAAGCTATTCTAATTAACATCTATGCTGAATGATTTGACAGTGAAGATATTGTTATGTAACTGAGAGGTCACGAGTTCAAGTCATGGGAGCGGGAAGCGGCCTCTTGTCAAATATCTGAAAAGGGAGGCTTGCCACTTATACACCCTTGTGGTGGGACCCATGCTTCCCCGAACCCCGAACCATTGTGGGGATGCCTTCGTGCACCGGGCTACCCTTTTTTATCTATCATTAAGGATTTAGCATACATATTTCTGTTCTATAGAATTCCGTGGATACTAACTAGTAACTACTAATGAGTGCCTTTTTATCACCCCTAAAAGTGTCAATACGTCTTTGTCTCCAAGATTGTATTGAAGCTCTACCCAAGTGTTAGCTTATTTTAATTTCAGCAGATAATATCCCCATATTAGTATTTCCACAAATTGAACAACACCTTCAATTTTTTCTCTTGGGCTGATTCCAAACGTATTCTATTTGGCTTTGTTCAGTTAAGCATAATATTTATTGAGTTATCTAACAAAATGTACTATATATCCAAAGAGAAAGGTGAATAAAAGATAGCCCAGACCTTTAAGGACTGAGGCTAGGCTTAGATTAATCTAGGTCCTTAGAATTGCCCATGTAAAAGCTCTCTATTCATTATATTTCTTTCTTATCTCAATGCAATTCCATACTCTTCATATGAAATAGTACAGCGAAGAAAGTACAACCCCCTTCTATGCCAAACAGACACACACAAGATGTAGCAATAGAACTAACCTCCATCTTGCGAAGCATGTTTTCTAATATTTCACGACGACGTCTCCGTGCATTGTCATCTCCATCTGCCATCCCTTGAGATGATAACTTGTCACTCTCTGCTACCAACTCCCCATTACAACTTTCACAGTGAAAATAATCATCATTTGGAGAAATCAACCGTATAGCATCCAAAGCAGTATATCTGTATATAAAGGATAAACAAGTTTCAAATTTCAATAAAAAGACTAATATAAAATTGCAGCTCAATGTAATGGGAAACCTTTTTCCACAGTTTGGACATATATACTCCTGAACTGTATTCTTGCTATCAAGTTCATCTCTAAGCTTTTTTTTCATGCGGTGTAATCTGTATCTCACGACATCGTGTATCTGCAAGAAGTGAATTTCCATTTAAGAATTCACTCTGACTAATGCGGATTTTTTTATTAAAAAAACATATTCAAAAATCAGAATTCGAGATATAGAAAAGATGGATTTTAAATGGCATATTGGCAGTAGGCAAAAAACAGGAATATCCCTCCTGCAGCGGCATGTAGGTAATAAAATTATTAAGAACAGCATAGGCATGGATGCAGAATGCACAAAAACTACATTCAGTAACTTAAAAAAATGCAAGACTTAGAACCCATCTATCTTGCCGCAGCGTAAAAACAGGTTGATTAACTTCTGAAATTAGATTTAATGCTGAATGAAGGCAATGACTTCAGTGAAGAGTAATTAGTCGTAGGGACCTGTGCATAGTCTAGACAGCAATAGGAATGTGTGTGCATCTTGACTTTTTCATCTTCTTTACCATAATGCTGACCATCAACGGTAGCAGCAACAGCAGCATTATATACTTTGGCACCTTTTGCTGACTGTAAATGAGCACAGTAATAAACAAAGAAACAAATAAATATAAATGAAAAAATAAATAAAATAATGAATGAATACATATAGCATGTTTTAATATATTAAACCATTTCATTTTCAAAAGGCATAGGCTTATGCCACTTGATCCAAATTTGTTCCCTATCAAATAGAATCCATACATAAGCATCATTGGAAACCCATAAACTTTGTCCTCAAGAAAATTATTAGCTCCTTGGATAAGCTTCAAAAAGCACTAAGCATTAACAGAAGTCTGTGTATTTAAATTTTAAAAATGCAGTTCTCTACTACTGATACAAAGAAGTTATTAAAATCACTTGAGCAGACCACCGACCAAATTCATCTTATTCCATTAAGGAAACATATTCAAAAATCATTTTTAAATATAGACTGCACTAGAGCAAACCAGACCAAACAAACCCAAACAAACATGTAAATGTTGCCATTAACGGGTCTTGTGTATCTACGTTAGTCTACACTAGGAAAAATAGTCATGGTATGATGTATTTCCAACCATCAGAATAGAGTAGAACAACAACCTCTTTCCTGTGATCCCTTGTGATCAGCTTTTCTTCTTCGAAAAACCGTAGTGTTCTTCGAAGTTGTTTTGTATGCAACTTCAAGTCCTTTGCTAGATCTTCTTCTCTCACCCACTGCCGCCTAAAAATTACACCAAATATACAAATAGTTGTATTAGTGTAAAGGAGCTCGATGGGCACATAGAGCTTTCCATATCCTAAAGTCAATGAAAAAAATTGACTTTCATATTTACATTTGGGATGAGATACTAGAAACATCATATATGGTATTTTATGTTTGCATGGCAAATATCATGAAAAGGTGATGATGAGTTGAAGTGGTCGCTACAGTCAAGTCCCGGAATATCTAAATAAGTAAGACCTAAAAAACAAACTTACAGAGGAACTGCATCTCTTATGATTTTCTATCTACAACAACAAAAAACCTAAGTAGAAACACATGCCTACATCCACACCAGGGTTTTAAATAGCGGACCGCTACAGCCTACAGCTGTAGCGGCCGCTATATAGCGGTCGCGGGCGGCGGCGCTACCGCTTCGGGCCGCTATAGCAGTGTGAATGTGAATCACGACAAAAAACCCGCTACATAACCGCGAAGGAACCCTACGCCGCCGCATCGGCCCGCTTCACGCCGCTACCGGCCGCAACCGGCCGCAACCGGCTGCAACGACACCACATCACCATTGTGCGAACTTGAAAATATTTCACACCGCAGCAACCGCAATACGCATCGCAGCAGCCTTATTAGCCGCTACCGCAATTTAAAACCCTGATCCACACAGACAAAATGCACACAGTAATATGGTATATTACATAAAACTGTATGCACGGTAAACTTAGAACCTTGTGAGGGCATCTAGAATCACAACTGCAATTCCTCTGTTATCGCTTCTACCTGACTTGGGCAAATTATCACCTTTTGTTGTAATATCATCATAGAAGGCTCTTGCTGCGAGTCTCACCAATCTATAAAGATAATTAAACAATAGAGACTAACATAAATCAGAACAAGATAAAAAACTACTCCGTATTAAAACTTGGTGTTGTAATAGAAGCAGCTGAATGCATTATTCCTGCTATTTGATAGTAAGGTACTCTTTTTACTGAACTCGACTATTTTTATTAATGAATATCTGTACCGGTTGAAGAGCTCGATACTCAAGTTAACAGCCATCAGATTAAGCGATGCCAGTCCTTAGAAAATGGTGACCTGTGCAAACAAAAAAATGGGCCTTCCGTTACAACAAAAGTAGCAATTGAACATAAATAGAGATGATGATAATGATAATTTACTAATAAATTATGTTAAAATAGAAGTCACTAATAAAATAATGAACATAATGAACATAATAGTAAAAAAGCATTCATTAACATTTCATTTCGAGCATATTTAGATGCAAAAGACATCTACCAAACTTTCAATGTCAATAATCTATTTGAGTGTTTCAAATTCTTTGGAAACATAATTACTATTAATTATTGAAATCCTCCACTGATCCTGTATATGTTTGCACTTAACAAATTTTAAGTTACAAGTTAATTTAAATTTCGAGTTAAGGACTATAGATTTTAAACCCAAAAAAATACTTATAAAATATAAACTATTAAACTAATTATAGTGTAAAACTGTAAACAATTGATAAATTACTAAATTAACAACCTAATAACATATTAACATACGTATACGAATTTGGGATTTGTGAAACATGATTAGTTAAATTACTTAATATCTTAATTAAATGAATAACAACATATTTAGTAATGTTAAAAGTCAGAAAACTTTACCTGGTGGCTGGTATAAGCTGGTTCAGCAATCAGCACTTCAGCGACTTAGCGAGCCCAGCGAGGCTGCGAGCGCGGAGGGCGGAAGGCGGAGCGGTGGCGGTGGTGGCCTGGCGGCGACCGAGGCGTTGTCCGAGTGTCCAAAATTCCGACCGTCCTAAGCTTGTTTGCCGATTGGGAATTTGTGTGTCAAGTGCAGCCTTCTGTATTTACTCTTCTTCCTCTTCTCTATTTTCTTGGTCATGGGCTGGCACTCTGGCAGGCTGTCTAAACCACTACGTAGTACGCAGTATTAAAAAAACGTCGGGCCTTCAATAATTGGGGGCCTGTGCCATTGGTCTGGGATGGGCTAGGCCGGCCCTGGGATTCAGCTACGCTGTACAATCATGGTCTTGAGCTTAACCATCAACGGACTATCCCACTCCCGGAGATGGGTTTGGAGAGTTGGGAATTGCAATGCGGCTAATCCCTAGTTTTTAAATATAAAAGATGTAAATATTTAGGATGTTTTTACTTGTAGTGTAATTTGTCCCAGACCAGACCAGATCAGACTTGGATAATTATAAAAATACAAAGAAACCAGATCAGACCAGACCAACAAATTAGAGTCCAAGTAAAAACATCCTTAGTAACATGTAAAAAAGATGAAGATAACTAAATAATAATAAAGTCAACACTGCCAGGAACGGAGAGAGAAGCTCTCGATGCGTACGGTTTCCCGAAACCCTGGTCCTTAAGTAGTGGATATTGCTCTGCAACCTTCCATTCTTAGATAGAGACTCATGTAGGTTTCTCTTGCTTGTTGAGAGTTAGGTTTTTCTCTCGCTTGTCTAGAGCTAGGTTTTTCTCTCGCGTGTTGAGAGTGGTGCAATGTCGCACTCTTCTGCGAATCGGTTTTTCTTTGGCATTATGATTGAGTGCGGGGTCCAGAAAGGATAACCAACCATGGCTTTTATGGATGATCTAGAGTAGTGTCGTTCCAATAATCCAGCAATTGAGGAGGAGGTCATCAGTAGAGGCGGCACGAGCGACGAACAGACGGGGAGAGGTGAAGGGCTGAGCAGGGGAGAAGACAGAACGGCGGTCCGCCCCCCTCCTGAATGAGTATGTATATGGTACATCCGGTTGTACGGTGAGCACCGTACAGCCGGCCCAGGAACAGGCCCAAGGGAAAAATAGCAAAACAATTCGGTGGCGTTTTTGTAATTAATGTAAAAATCGTGGTTTCTGCTAAATGAGCATTGGTGTGCCGTTAATGAGCAATAGTCCAATTTTAATGAGTATTAAACATCTAATAATGAGCACTGTGTTATTACAAGAAAGCTGATATCAAAACTAAAAAATGGTGTCATTTTCGTAATTTCAGGGAAAATCGCGATTTTCGTTAGATGAGCATTAATACACTTTTTATGAGCATCAGACGTATTCTACTGAGCAGTAAGAGTCGATAAATGAGTATTGTGATATCAACTTCATAAATTGTAATTCACCTTCTTTTTCTTATTTTCTCTTTTATAAAATCTCAATAAATTATATCTATAATCAATTCCTATGAATTTCAATATGTGGATCTAATTTTATATGATACTGTTGAAATATGTATTGTTATGACATTTTAAAAATGAGCACATCAGTACCAAATGAGCATACATAAAGTACAAATGAGCATTGATATGACAGTCGTAAGTTTTGTTAGTTGAGCATCAAACCTCCTCTATTGAGTATTAGGATTATGTAATTTAGTGAGCATCAGACATGTTTTGTTGAGCATTGGAAGCCTAACAATGAGTGTGGTGATCTCCTTTATATATTCGAATTCACTTTCCTTTTCTTATTTTCCCTTTTTAAGAACTTACTAAATATTATCTATAATCGAATCATATGAACTTCAATATGCGAATCTAATGTAATATTCAACTTTTGAAATATGTATTGATATGACATTTTAAAAGTCAGCATCACATGAGCACCAATTATTGAGCTTAAGTTACTTACAAAATGAGCATTGATATGAAAATCATAATTTTTTTAGTCGAACTTCAAGACATTTTTGTTGAGCATCAAACCTTCTCTATTGAGTATTAGAAATATGCAATTAAGTATAAGCATTTATATAACTAGACGCAATACCCGTGCGATGCACGGGTACATCTAGAGCAGAATAATAACTTGTTTAATCTAACTTTGATTATGATGGTACATAATATGCAATTATTTTAAGTAAAGAAATATAGTAGAGATTATGTGTTGTAAGTTTGCGTATATAATGATAGTTTGTAGGAAAAAGGAATATGTTGGTCGTATGAAAAATTGTAAGTAATTTAAAAGGTAAGATGTAAGAATAAGTATTACGGAGTACTTGATAAAGAGATACTGTGATTATATTCCACAATTTAAGTGTCTCCTTCGATGGCCCTAAAGAAGCGTTATAAAAATGAAATGTCATATACATTGGCACTGTACAAAAAAGATCACAACTTTTAGAAAAGTTCTTTATAAATCATATTATCAATAATGATGATAGCATGATTTTTTTATTCACATATAAGAATGTTCAACTTACTACTTGAGGTGGTCCTTGACATTACATCGTACAAAATATGGCTCCTTAAGGTAACCCTTGACATCGTAGTGTAGAATTGACTGTGTGTAGTTTTTTATATATATGTTGCTTAATACAGAGATTGTAATTGGCAAATGAAATGATGATTTGGAAATTAATGCATTCAAATTTGAAATGAATTATGATATCCAATGAGAAGAATGATAATCTTGAAATGAAAACCATTTGACCAATATTTTTGTTAAGTATAACTTTCGCCTCCAAATATAAAATTACGGCACTTTAATTTTTTTTGAAAGAAATCGAAGTTCAAATATCAAATTATAGCACTTCAAAAAGCAGGTGTTTTTAAAGGGTTAAAATATTTTTTATTTTTATATAATCAACATTGGTGTCATATGAAAAATAATAGAATATTATGAATTTTGATACCTTTTTTGTAACAATCGGAGTACAATTAGAAAAGTTATATCACTCTATAAAAAATCTTAAAGTGTTAAATTATTGTTTCTCCCTCTGTATTTATAAGTTCACTACAATAGCATTGGGCACATTATTTAAGGAAAGAAATAGTAGGGGTAATGAATAGTGTAGAAAAAGTATAAAAGAGTGTGTAAAAGTATGAAAGAGAAGATAAAAAGTAGAAAAGGTAAGAGTAATTAAATATTTTAGAGGTCATACATCGTAAAAGATCCGTGAATAGGGCCCGTGCTAGTAAAATGAGCTGCCCTATTCACGGATCTTTTACGATGTATGACCTCTAAACTAGCTTCATAGCGAAGAGTGTGTCTAATATCTTCAAGTATAGTGTCAAAATAGGAGTCTCCTTCTCGATCCATAATGCTCGAGGCTATCATCAGAGAGTCTGTCTCTAACTTTACCTGCGGCCAACGTTGTTCCTTGATCCATGTAATCGCTTCCCGAACGCCAATTGCCTCCGTTACCGCCGCTGACCAGCTTGCTTGTACAGCCCGGCTGCCTCCCGCCAAGAACTCCCTTCGGTCATCTCTAGTTATCCATGCCCAGGCCCTCCTGCCTCGTCCTTCCTCTAGAGCTGCGTCAACATTTACCTTGATGCTCCCCGCCATCGGCTTCCTCCAGCGTGGTGGTGGTTCTCTGGTTCGCTGCTCCGTGTCATTTCTGTGAGCCAACACCCAATTCGTCATCATGCTCCTCCCCTCCTCAACCACTTGCCGTCAGCCCACCGCTTTATTCTTCCAGACTTTTGCGTTCCGAGCTTTCCACAAAGTCCAAAGAAGTACAACAAACATACTAAGGCCCTCCTGCTGCATATTATCAAAGAAACTCTGCACCCAGGTTTCAAAAGAGTCTCCCTGTCTAATAAAGTTTGTTCCCAGATGCTGCCAGACTGCTTGAGCCACATGGCATTCACAAAATAGATGTAATTCAGACTCAGCATCGTTCCCACAAACATTACAAAGGCCGTCAACCTCCACCCGCCTTTTGTGAAGATTAATTGAGGTCGGAAGGATGCCAGACATTGCCTGCCATAAAAAACATTTAATTTTTGGAGGGATATTTAAATTCCAAACCTTAGTCCAGCTCGTCCAGCCCGTCGCCTGATACTCCCCTTTTATACTACTATATCCGCTCTTTACTGTGTAGATGCCCCTTGGATCTGCTTTCCACCATATTCCGTCCTCCACATGTCTCTTGCTCAATGGGATGCTCAGAATATTTTTCCTTTACTCTGCCGAGAAAAGAGACGTTACTCTGGCCATGTTCCAGTTATCTCCCCTTTCATTAAGTAGAGCGACCACATTCATGTCTGAAATCCCATTTGGCGGTGAAGAATGGATCATGCCATTACTTGTTCCTGGTAGCCATCTCTCTTTCCAGACCGAAATCGTTTGGCCATTTCTGACCTTCTTGCATAGGCCTCCATCCATTAATTCTTGGGTATGAATAATGCTACTCCAAATAAATGACGGGTTGCCTCCAGCTTTGGCCTGCAAAAATGAACAATTAGGAAAATATTTAGTTTTGTAAATTCGTCCGACTAACGAGTCAGGATGCTTGATTATTCTCCAAGCATGTTTCCCCAACATTGCTATATTAAACTCCCTTAGTGACCGGAATCCAAGCCCTCCTTTTTGCTTGGGATAACACATGGTCTGCCATGTTTTCCACCTGATGCCTCCCTTGCCTGATCAGACCCCTTCCACCAATAACCATTCATTATGGTTTCAATCTGTGTGCACAACTCTTTTGGCAGTAGAAAGACATTCATCGCATAGGATGGCATGGCCTGAATTACCGTCTTAAGCATAATCTCCCGACCGACTTTGGATAAATAATTATTATTCCAGTTGCCAATTCTACCGATGATGCGCTCCTTTAAGTACCCCAAAATTTTAGTTTTTCTCCTGCCCACCAGCGCCAGAAGTCCCAGATAACGTGGCCCGCTATCCTCTTTGCTGACTCCCAAAAAATTGCAAATATGGTCTTTATTCTCTTCACTAATGTTTGGGCTGAACATCACCGAGGACTTCTGATAATTAACTTGCTAGCCTGAATCCTCCTCATAACGCTGGAGGATATTTTTTATTGTCTGACATTCCCCTTCTCGAGCTCTGAAAAATAAATAGCTATCATCTGCAAAAAATAGGTGGGACACTCTTGGTGCACGTCTAGCTACCGTTATACCCAAAACATTTCCCATGTGTTCC